GGATTATCCGGGAGTCTCCCGGATACAGAGCCAATCTACCCCTCTCCCGTACGGGTGACCAAAACTCCTGGATAAAAGGAAGCTTTGATCTGTTGCTCACAAAAATCTAAGATTTTAGCTCCGTATGTTCCAAAATTCTGAATCATCTGGCTTCTCACGCTTGTATTAGGGTTTCTGGCTTCATTTTCTTGCGTGATTCACGTTGTTCGTTGCAAACATAAAGAAACGAGTCTCTTCCAGGCTTTGTTACTCCTATGTAAGCGAGAGTCTGATTAGATGAGTATTCAACCGATTAACCAATTGAAGTCCCTCACAAATAGATCCACGTTTTTCCCGCGAAATTGCTCGGCGCGGTCACTGATACTCGAAGTTCTACATGATGGCTTATATGCACAATGCATGTTTCAAGGCATGGAGGGAGAAGGGGTAAGGAGGTCCAAACCAAGAAAGAATTTTTTCGAGGGGACTCGCATTGGCGAACTCGGTCTGGGGGGTGCTGGTCTGCAAAAAAAATCTCCAGATTTGAGATCTCCAGAGGTTGGCATCTCTGTTATAAGGATACGGTAGACCTTAGGAGGTTTCCATCGTGTAAAGAATAGGTTGAGCGCAATATCAATTGAAGCATAACCGCCATAAACAATATATAAATGAAAAGATTATGAAATACACTCTCCGGAAAAATTCTTCCGTTTTAGCTCGTGTTGTAGAATAAAGACGACGTTTACCTATATAACTGTAGGCTTTAACATCCTAATCTCGTACTGCACATGATACTCGAAACCTGGCGGTGAGTAGGTGTACTCTGAGTCCGCCAAATTATATGAATAAACGCTAAGTTTACTACAGTTCTGGGTTCAAAATGTAAGGCATGCTTATCTATGCAGTTCTAAAGTGTCCGCAATGTGCCGTCACGCAACATTTAATAGAACCCTTTGTTTAAAGATCGAATCTAACTACCGGACGAAGAATTCGTTCCGAACGGCGAACAGGTGCTAATTTCACATCGTGCTCTTGTTTGAGCTCAGGTGCAGGTTCAGGCTTAGGCTCTACATCAGACACCGGACTCATCCTTGTTTTAGTGTTGGCCTCTCTAAGGGGCGCGTTCTTCACTGCTTCTAGAGCCGGCACGTCCTGATGGTGAAAGAGGCTGGACCTTTTGCGCTTGGCCGTTGAGAGCAAGATGCTTAGTCGCTACTGTAGTTTCTCCACTATCAGGATACCACATATGGGTGTAGTAAGGGTTTGCTTGGAGCAATTCCACTTTATCGACCCAAGGCTCTGTCTTCTTTGAGCAAATCTGATGCTTGATGTAGACAGATGCAGGTGCAGCTAGCCAAGTGGCCGGAATGGAGGCACTGGAGGAAGAAGCGCTCGTGTGGTGTTTTATTGGTAGCTGAACATAAGAGCGGGAACGGATAGAATGGCTCAGGCTGATCGCGATTACCTTACATACCACTCCGTCAAATCTCTCTGCTTGACCATTTCCTTTTGCGTTGTAACTGGTGGTCTGACTTGTGGCTACCTTTTTGTTTTTAGGAGGTCGCGGAACTCTCTGCTCATTTAAGGTGCCTCTTGAACGGAATGGACATTCGCTGGTATTCGGACGAGTAAGAAAAGTGAAACTTGGCAATAAACCTAGAATACTCACAGAACACCACGAGAAAGTACTTGCCTCTGTTCATACATGGTCAGTAATGGGTCTTTGAAATCGATGTTGATCCGATCAAACGGCTGGGTGGCCTTGATAAGGAGAAACTCGCTCTGGGGAAACTAAAGTTAGTATTCACAACAATCAGGGTATTTACTTGTCATCTTCTTTATCTCTTCTAGGGTGCTTGTAAGATAAAGGCTGATAGTTTCGAAAGAAACTGTTTGGGGCTGCGTCGGTGGGAGTAACGAAATAACTTGGATATATCAACAAAGTTGAAGTGGTAAATTGGCCACCGTAACGATTACAAAAGCTGACGTTTCGAGCGTTAGCCCTTCGTCGGAGCTCGAAACGTCAGCTTTTGTAATCGTTACGGTGGCCAATTTACCACTTCAACTTTGTTGATATATCCAAACTGCTTGTAAGATAACTTCTTGGTTCGCAAAAAATGGTTTAGTCGGGTGACTCCGGCCGACTGGTAAAGGCTATAAAGTGAGTCATGAGTTGAAGTCAGTAGTGCATTTGGCTCTAGCTAGACAGGGTATCTGGTGCGACGTTATTTCTTCGAGCTACAAGGGATATCGGGAGTTTTGCAATCGAACAAATCAAGTTAAGAAAAAGGCGACTGACTCTTAAGGTCAAGCTCTGTATTTTATCAAGTCCAAAGTCAAAGAAGTGACTCAAGTAAAGCAACAAGATTCCGCATGATCAATATTTCAGTTCCAAATAATGATGATATAGTGAGCTACAAATACGCCTTTGAATACCTATTGAAGTCTTTCCAATACTTAACGCAGATTACACTAAGTTTAATGGAATTGATGTTATCTCAAACACGGATATAGTCATAACTGAACTGCCTGGGCTTACTTCAATCAAGCAACTGAGGCCTAAACTTATCTTTTTGTCTTAACACGTCACTATCATTCGAGAATAACGGAAAATAAAGCATGAACCTTTATAAAGTGGTCTCAGCTGTTTCAGTATCAATATTTATCACCTGGAATTCAGGTGGCAGAGAGAGAAAACCTCCTGCACGAGGATTCCTATCAATGATCATGTTACAAAACGTTTCTACGTATAACTGCTTAAACTTTTCGTTAAAATCCTGGTTACGGAGATGATTTGGTGGGTTCCTCATAATGACTTCAAGATCTGTTATGAATCTCTCACACCAGTATTTAATCGGGTGCTTTGTCGGTTGGAACACCATTACTTCCTCATGAACCTTACGCAGCCTATTAATGTTAGTCTCAACTCGTCCATTGTGTACAGCGGCTACCATGGACGGATTTTCGCTCAAAATACTTTGAAGATGTATATATAGACGCACCTCATGTAGTACTTTCGTTAAAATCGTTTCATCGCTATCACTGTCGCTGATCTGCTCTATCGATTCAACCGGAAGTTCTGCCAGTTGTTCTCTTAAGATTCTGGCGAAGTGCCCTTCAAGTGCTTCACATTCTAGATCTTTGTGTAGTTTTTTGAGAAAGGTAAGATTCTCGCAGCTGTTTTCCATAATCATTTTTCCTTTCAAATTAAGCCAGAACCTTCTGCACTCGCTATAATCGCATTCTTCCATGGCTGTCAAATTTATTCGGAATTTCTTATCACCAAAGTGTAAGCTGTTTACGTACGGAACAATGTCTTTAAGTCGCCCATCAAGCTCATTCACTCTTCTTTCAGCATTTTCAGTCTCCGCATTTGATGATCTCTTACTACCGCTAAAATGTTCAAGACATTTCAAGGAGACCCTTCGTTGTTCACCTGTAAGGAAAGGCTTTGCTACATTCCCCAACTCTTCCACCACAATTCTTATTTCTTCCTTTATATTTTCTGGCACTTTCCCCAAGAGAAGCAACGAGGAGCAGATATTTAGCGGCAGGAAGATCATATGGAGGTCTTCGCGAAGAGCCCTCAGTTGAGGTGACTCACTCGAAAAATTTCGGTAGTTGTCATCAGCGAGCATGTATCTCAAAACATCAAGGCCAGTTACCGTAGAGTGGATAAGTATACGTTCAAAAGTGTTCTTCACTTTTGAAATTTTTTGTGGGATGTCTTTACTTTTCAGTTTGCTGTAATCGGTGTAAATTCTCTCCGCGAATTGGCGCCATTCTCGCCTTTGATGGTCTCTTCGATCTTCTTGATCACGCCTCTTTTGGTACTCCCGATCTTCCTGTAAGCGCCTCTGCTGGTCTCTTCGATCTTCTTGATCACGCCTCTCTTGGTATTCCCTATCCTCCCGTATGCGCCTCTGCTGGTCCCTTCGATCTCTGTGCCACAAGTAAATGGTTCCAACTGTAAAGACGACGATCGTAAGGAGGAGGTTACCACAATAGTACGCCAGGGTTATTGACTCCTTGTACTCTTTAGCAAACATCTGAATCATGATCAACCTTCCTTCACGAAAACTGTTCAGATGTCGTCGGAAGAATTTTGAGAAGCTCAATTTTTTTTGTCTCGGCTTTTTTTTTATATGGCTTCGCCTAGGTTGAGGATGATTTCAAACTGCTGACGACGACTTCGCTTTCTAAGGCTCTCTTTTATTTCCTTTAGTTAATTCGAAACTGATTGGTCGGGTATTTTTTCATTTTCTTGAAGTTTCTGTCTTCTAAGCGTTCTGGTAACGTTTGCTCAGACGCTGATATTAAATTTCCGGTATGCGCAGATGTATCACTAAGAGTAGTACTGTATAAATCACTGACTTCCATTACGCAGTGATAGATATGGTTTAATTGAGGAGTTGGGAGGAACAATTACCTCGTAATTATAATTATGGTTCAGATAATTTTTATTTGCAGTTTTCCTTAGGTTCAGCGCAGTTCTAGATTTGGGCATCTTTAATATTGATTCTTTCGAATAAAGAAAGCTAAGTCGAAACCAAGAGTTTGTATGTTTACATCCTCTTGTCGAAACTGAAACATTCTTCGAGAATGAAGTCGTACACGCACTCCTTCAATTTCACGGAGATCTACCGAGAGATAAGCATCGCTTGGTCTTCTGTTTCTTTAGGCTACGTAAATTTCTTCAGTTACGACGATAACGAAATAAAGAGACCCAGTTATCGTCGGAATATAATAAAAGAGGCGTTTTGTCCAAAATGACCTAATTTTAATCTTTTCCGGCTGTTGTGTTCTTCGGAAAACGTGTAGCTTGAATGGAAGCAGCAATGTAACATTATTAGGCCAGCGTTAAATTCGATATTTCACACGCACCTCCACGGCAGTGTTTTATGTCAGCGAGTCTCACATGTGCTTATTGAAAATTTTCTGTGGTATTCCAATGTCGAAGTTTCTTTACAAGTCCTTTCCACTTACGTGCGCATAGGATACTGGCAGGGTCTTAGCCGAACTGTATCCTGGGAAGATTTCGCTCTGTTTTCAAAATGGCGGCTCGAAATCTGCTCAGGGCTGCTGCTTCATGCAGACGAAATCTAGCTTTCAGCTCCACTTTTACTCGGAACCAAAGCATCTTCACTAAGTACAGAGAACCACCTAACGGTTTCCTCTTCAATGAGAAGGTAAATTATTGAATTTACTATCATTCAAGTACGATTCAATACTAAATTAACATGGCGTACCCCTCACAGTTCTTGTGGTAATAATATTTAACTGACTTCGCTCCATAACAGTCATTTTTTTCTATTTTAGCGAGAAAATATTTTGTTTTTTTTCTTCTTTTTTTTTCTATTTTAACGGTAAAGTTCATCTGTATCTGCATTGGTGTAGTCTAGTTGTTAAGTAAAATTAACGACGTAAATATCTCAGTTAAGATATTACACAGTTTATTAAGACTATGATGTATTTGTTGCTACTTTCGTGTTTTTGATTTACGCTCATTTTTTACGATGTGTATGCACTTTCAAGACTACCGATAGAGAAGATCGTGTACATGTAAAGAGGAAAAAGGAAAGCCTCTTAAGTACCTTAAATAATGATGCGCCAGACAATATTATCCAAACATTTTTGGCCATTCTTAAAGTGAAATGCTATATCTGTAAGAAGCATGAGAAATTCAATATTTTCAGAATTTCTTTAAGACTGTCGTTTGATGTTCAACTAACTGGTCAATCCTTTTGCATGAGTGCATAAGACTGTCGTTTGATGTTCAACTAACTGATCAATCCTGAGTGCATAAGACTGTCGTTTGATGTTCAACTAACTGATCAATCCTTTTGCATGAGTGCATTAGTTATTTCTGTCCATCATTTGCAGCACCTTGTGAGTCCACAACAGTTTGACTACTATGATGACAAATATTGGTGTCAATCAGAGTACAGACCAGGCTAAACCTCAATCAATTTTTAAAATATTTTGTGCGAATAATATTATATAAACAACTGAAATTAAATCTGAATGTTCCTGTTTCTCGCTTCTTAATTGACAGCCCTTAAAACCAGGAGAGAAGCGAAAATGGGAAGACTGGGAAGAACCTTGGTATAGATGGTGGGCTCTCATTCTTGTTTCCATTCCTGTTTTGTTCTACTACAAGCCTGAAACTAGGTAAGGTGATGTCCAACTTTTGTAATTTATAAGAGTTAACACCTCAGAACTTAACAAATGCAATAAAATGTGTTTGACATTTTCTTGCTGACAGATATATTTATTCTCAAAACTGAACCCAGATGAAGTCATATCCTGACTTCTGTTAGAACCCATATACCTGTTGTAAAGAGTAGGAAATGTAGCTCCCAGTGTTGTGGTCTGGCCTTGATTCTGATATTGGGGACATCTGCAAAACAATTTTCTTTAAAAGTTGTAAACTGCTGGTTACAGTCTGCAAATCCCCCTGTAAATTCTTGTAAAGCAGTATGAGCGATAGGATATGGCTCTATAACATCCTTATCATCATCATCATCAATTTATGTCTTAAAAGTCAACCTGTATACAGTTTATAGTTCTTGTCCAGCTTTTAGTTATTTTTATTTGTCTTTTCTCTTAAGACTTAGTGTGCTGCATTGACAACAACAACAACAACAACAACAACAACAACAACAACAGCAATTTAATATTTATATTGCACAAATTAACATGCAGATATGATCAAATGCACATCACAGTTCAATTGAGTTTAACTATAGCCGAGGCTCAGGTATTTAGAGATCAGAAACCTAAACAGTGCTGCTCATCATTCACATCTGAAGTAGATACTGAAAACATTTAGGGAAACTTCTTCAATTGTTTCTGTCTTCCTTATTATTTGTTTTAAATTCTTCACCTTTTCAAAGGGATAAGATGCATAATGAAGAATACTTAAACTTATCAAATAGAAGTTGTTATCCTGATCCAACACCAAATTCTCGTAACCGATTTACAAGGAAATGTGTAGCAGCCAGAGGGGAGAATTAACAATCTGATCTTGGGAGTTAAAGGGTTAGCTTATCATTGCTAGATCATTTGCAGTTTTTTTCCTGATGCTGTTTACATGTAAATACACCAGTTGACTTCTTGATGCGCTCATTGGAGTCATCTTTGCTTTAATTCAATGGTACAATTAATTCAGCCTTACAAAGTATATACAGGGATACTCTACTATTTACTGGTATTTTGTTTTTTTCTGGTGAGTTAATTAAATTGCTTTGGATTTTTCAGTTTGTAAAATTTCATTGAAAAGTGTGATAAGAGCTCATCTGTATTTCTGAGAAATGATTGACATGTAACTTCTCCCTATGATATCCATACATTCTCCAGTAAACAGTTAATAAGAATACTTTATTACACGACTCGGGCAGTCAGAGGGCCAATAACTAAAATCAACCAATCAAAATATTCTATTGCCAGTCAATATTCTCTCAGTATTGGACCAGGCACTGTCCCAAATGGTCCCTAATGATACCGCACTTGTGTCCCTTTCAACTTCAGTCGTATAGTAAATCTCTTATTCAGGGGTTTTATTAAGGGCTGGGCACCGGCCAAATTGACTGGTTGTAAGGACGGTTTTACCCACCTGGTTTAACAATATGGAGGAAGGTTTATCTTATAAAGAAGTTTAGTTCAAAAAGTTTTGCCGGCCTGTGAAAACCAGTTGCCCTCCTGCTGAAAAAATTAATGAAACCCCTGCTTATTAACCAAGCTTGCTTGGGACCGTACTGGAAGAATATCGGTGGTCGGTCTTTTTTGTACGGACCGAGCGCAGCGAGGTCCATACTGTCAAGACCTTGGGCTGATATTCTCCCAGTATGGCCCTCGCGCTTGGGCAATAAGATATATAATATAAAATGCTAAATACTTAAATTCTGGGTCCCACAGGGCTCCCTACTGGGAGCTAGGCTTTTTATCACTTATGTAAAGGATCTTCCAGACAGCATTAAAAGTGGCAAAGTTTATCTGTATGCTGACAATACTACCATTTAAACCATTGGTAATACTACTGATGATGTTGCTATAGCCCTCCAGGTGATATTAGATCAGCTACAAACCTGGTGCCAAATGAACAGATAAAATGATTCACCAAGGGAAATGTGATGCAGTAATCCTCGATACAAAACCCTTTATTGGTCATCTGAACCCTTTAGTTTGGGGAGACAAAACCATTGAATACAGATCTTTCTCGGTATGTCTTGGTGTAGCCATTGATGAAAGACTCTCAGGGGCTAGTCATGCAAAATCTGTCTCTGCCTCATACAGCTTTAGAGTTAAAATGTTAAGATGCATGAGCTTCTTACCAAAAGCCATACTAGAAACAGTTTATTATAAAATAGTAACCCCAAGTGTATATGGTATGGCTGTGTAGGGCTCTTGCTCAGATTATTTGATGAGAGATCTAGAACTAATCCACCTTACAGCTGCAAGACTCATCCACAAACTACCAAGAGACATAGAAGACAAAAAAACTTCTCTTAAATGCAAATTGGATGCCATTAAAATATTTCTGTTGTTCTCATATTTTAACATAATGCATAGAACCCTTTAAAATATAGATCTAGACAATAGTCTAGTTGGGAAGAACGGTTCTTCTTATAGTCCAGGAAATTGTTGAATGTTGTTATATCCAGAGCAAGAATGGAACAGGGTCGTCACTCATTTAAATGCAGCTGCACTTGCCTGGAACTCTTTACCTGACTCTTTTTAAAAGCTTGTAAACCCTGTCTCTTTTAAAACAAAGATAAATTCTATCAAGACCTATGTCAGGGACATCAGCTTCCAAAAGGAATGCTCTGTAAATAAATTATAATAAGAACCTGAATTTAGATATTTTAAAATTGTTTGATCCCTCTTTTAACTATTATTGTATATTATTTTTAGCTTTATGACAATTGTATTGTAAATTTCTGTTTTTCCTTATTTAGTCTTAGTAGTAGTAGGTCCACATCAGCTGTACAGTTGCATATTTTAAAACCTACATATCAAATAAATGTATATTTGTGTTTAATATAGGTAGAAGTTGTTGTCTTGAGCTAATGCCAAGTTCTTGTTACTAGGAAACATGTTGCAGCTAGAGGGTAGAATTATCAATCAGATCTTAGGAGTCAAAGGTTAAATTGACTCTTATTTGTGATTTTGTAGACCAGAAGTGTGGGCAAGGAAGAAGGCACAGGAGATTGTAGCTGCTCGGGATGCTGCCGATGCAGAGGCTGCTGCTCGGGGTGAACCTGTGGATGAAGGAGAAGACATTGGAGATTTCAAATTGAGTGAACTTAGAAGACTCCCCTGAAGCATGTTCGTTTGTTGTAATGATATTGTTGCCACTGTCTTTTAAGGCAATTAATACAGTGTATTTTGGGCTTTTTGTGGCCAAAGTCAACTTAAATCTGACTGTAGTAAACTGTCCTTGTAAATGGCTGTAACCACCCTGTGAATGGTATTTAAATCTTGGTATTCTAGTGATCTGTAATAGATCCTAATGCCCAGCTTTTCAAATTGGTACTGATACTATCTTTTTGTTGGATGAGAGATTCACATATTCATATTTCTGCTAAATATCCTTTTGGAAATTTTCATTGGAACTTGGCTTTACAATCTTAATAGTGGAAAGCATTGCACTACTTTAAGTGGATAATACAAACCATTTGCCTTTGTATTAGAAGTTTCCATTTTGTTTTTTAATTTTTTTATGTTTTTTCGGTTCTATGTAAATGGTGAACACCCCAGGTAATTACAGCTTGCCTCTTAATTTTATTAGTCTTAATACTGTGTGGTATGGACAAAGCAGTAGTAAAAACTGAAGTGGGTCTCTAATTTTGTTCAGCTTTGTTTCAATCTCAAGTAATGTTTGTAAATAAACTTGTTACAATCGGTGGAAGATGAAAATGAGCGATTCTATAACTGCTGCAGAACTGCTGCAGAACTGCTCCACAACTGATGCTATCATAATGTCATGTGTTCCTTATTCTTTCTCGGTGCTCAAAAATTCGATTAGGCTTGAGAGAGTAAACAGGATTTTCTGTTTTCTTCTTTGAAGATACCGTCCATTGACAGTTTGTGTGGCTGTCTCGTTTACGTTTCATTGCTGCACGATAAGCGAAGCGAGCTTGCATCACTTAATGATGAGAATATGAATTTTGGTGCGATCGGTTTCGCCTGCTTTTCGAACGGAATTTAGTATTGTTCCATTCGAATAAAGTGCATATCGAACAGAATGCACAGCGCTCTGGTAAAACCCTGCTTTAAGTTGTTGTAGCTTAGGCCACAAAACGTAAGAAAAGAGCGTAATTGGCTTTCCTCTGTGGGTGACATTAACGCCTTGAAACTGTTGAATTGTCAATTTTTCAGCCCTTGTATCCCATGTCACCGAATGAACTCTTTGTTCAGAGGAAAAAGAAAAAAGGAAAGCGAGTATGAACAGTAAAGAAGTTTTATCTTAAGCCCAAACGAATCACCGGGATAATGTGTGTCTGGCAGGAGGAGGCAAGAGCAGCATGATCTACACTGGGTAAGAAGCGTTCAATCTATGGAGATAACAGTATAGCACAGGAAAACCGAGATAATCGGCTAACTAGAATCAGGAAACGAAATAACAAACAGCCGTGGACGCGAATTTCAATAAACTATTACCATTGCGACGGAACGAGCTCGAGCTAGCCGCTAATGAGCAAATGAGCTAACCGCCTCCCGTTTAGCTCATTTGGTTAGAGCGCCGGATTGCGTTGTGCGGGAGGTCGAGGGTTCGAGCCTCAGCGGACCGATACTCATGGTCTTAAATTAAGTGAGGAGAATTTGCTACCTTTCTACAATCAAGAATGGATAGATATTCTAGTCTTCTCGGATAACGACGAACAAACCGTACGCCCCGTCTCCTGCAGGGTTAGGGGTAGGAGACGTTAATTTCCCACGCGCGAGGTTACTGTGTAGTGGATGTCTTCCCCTGGGGTAGGACGGGTGGAAATTGGCCCTGAAAAGCCCCCATGGGGAGTGGTCAACTAACGTATGTATGTATGTAATGTTGAAGTTTAGTCAATGGTAGAAACGTTCTTTTAAAGAAATATTGACAAATTTGAAAGAAGGAACGAAATAGATTCTTGAGCACAGTTTCGTTGGACATGTGAACGAAACCACAGATGAGGGCTATCACGGATTCGGCACACATTTCCAATAAAATTCTCCAAGCAAGTTCAGACCTTCAGGCGAAATACGCCGGTTCATGATATGATAGCAATGTCTGGCGTTATTGAAGGTAAGATGATGATTTGCTATCTGAATGTCTGTTCGGAAAGGATTGAACGGGGCAATCAGATGTCCCTTAAAGTTCTACTTTGAGGGCGAAAAATAAATCAGTCTGAAAGCTTAAACAGCCCCGAACCCATCCTTACCCCAGCCAGTGCCAAACATGTCCCTTGTTGGAGTAAAAGTAGGACGAAAACAAGAAGTAAAAGCATTTGAAAGTCGAGCAATTCGACCTTTCACATTTGTTAAGCGCCTCCAGTTCGCTTGGCTACCATTTCTTTTTTTTTTTTCCTGAGGATTTCTTACTCTGTGTCTCAAAGAACAACCCGGTATGAGTCTAACTTACACCTACCTGGTATTGTCCACTTCTCTCTGTCGTTGAGGGCCAGGCTGTACTTTGTTGGGACACATCGAAACCAGTCGCTAGACATTTTAATTTACCTAATCATTCTAAGCAACATATGGCAATCTGCGGTCTTTCCTTACACTTAGGTAGCACGGAAAGCCGTAAAAATCTTGAACAAAAGCTCATCTTTCAAACCGGCAGTCTAAATCCCACAGGGATCAACGAACGCTTTTCATTCCACTAATTTATTCTTGTTTTTCTCGTTGCCATGTTCCCACCAATAACGTAGCTCCATTTTCTGCCTTTAAAAG